AAACGTATTTTAATTGATAAATAAAGACAATAAATGACTGAAACCCAGGAATTAATTTTGATTTGGAATTGAAACACAGTCAGGAAAGTATATACTATGATTTTTTAAGTGAAAGGTCGCTGCTCGGTTTTGCACTTTTTCAGACTTGAGTTTGCTTTACTCTGACAAATCAGGCAAACTTTGTATTCGTGCAAAAGAGCTGTAGATTTTGTGAACACCCTATAGAAATTTGAAGCCGCAACTTGACCCAAAAAAAAATTACCTAAGTCTGGGAGTGTTCTTCAGTGCCGATGGGGTCGCTTCAGACTGTGGCGAAGATAAGTGGCGCAGGCTTTGCTGCGCTCCACAATGATTTCGACCAAGTGATCTTCAATGGTAATCAGGGGCGTAGGCAACGGCAGCAGACTAAACGTGGCGATGTTCAGGGATTCCCATTGTCAGACGGCACTGTTTGGGAACCGTGGCGGAGGCAGTGGCGGCGGTTGAGACGAAACCGTATCCCCTGCACGCGAAGAATGCTCAGAACCCGCTAGAACATACCAAAAAATTAACATCCGGAATCGCGTCCTTTGATTAGATGGACATATCAGGTACATCAGCAACATTTTAAGGACAGTGGAGGAAACCTGGATGAGTTCGTCTGGAAATGGGCTCAAGCTTTGGTGCATCTGTGCACGCTTGATATTGGCTTTAAGCAAAAGGCACTTAGATGAGACCCTAGTAGTATTTACACCTGCTGACTTTAGTGGCTTAAAGCGATTAACTCCCAATACATCAAAGATTCATGTATGTGTACAATGTGCATTTACTAAAAAGTTGAAGTTGATACCTGAGAGCGAACCGTAGTAAGATCTGTGCCTTCGAAGATTGTAAGTCGTGCGAAGAATTTGTTCTTCGAACGGATTGTTAACTACCATAGAAACACATTCTGTTCATTCTGGAGGAAACTTAGCGCAAACAAACGGGGCACTTACATGATTCCTGCTGATGGCATTTTTCCTCCGTTACAACCAGGCCGGACTGTTCAGTGATGGGTAGATGTTGTTCGAGTGCATTCACGCTGTTTAACATACTCCTGCAACGGGTTCAGATCATCAACTATTCCACCTCAGAACCAGCGGCATGCGACATGCAACATTCACTAGGGGGTAGACGAATAAGCAAGCAAATTAAAAATAATCATCGAATTTATTGTCGTAGTCAACTAAATAAATCAACAAAATGTAAATAAAATATACATTTTCTCATAGGATTATAAATTGGTGTCACTTGTGTCCACCTTGTCTTCACTGGAGGTGGTTTTTTCGGCCACATCGCCTGCTTCGCTGTAAAACAGAGAAAAACACACTAAACTACGGAAAAATAACATGCAAACTTATAAAAAAAACGGTGCAAGGAATTTTCAATGAACTTATACTAATTTTAGGACACTCTGTAGCTCGATCTTTTGCTCTTACAGGGTGTTGAAGAAGTAACTATTCGCTACTCGACGAAAATAATGAATATTGAGTCGAAAAAAACTTGGCGATCGTGGTGTAATAAATGATAAAAAAATTACAAGTTAAGAGCGAACCACGCAAGAAAAGCCTCTGTCTGTAAAAGAGTTGTGCAGCACTGCAGCATTTAAGCACTAGCAAACACTTAATTCGCATCTTCTAAACTAAAGCAAGTAGCAACTTGCAAATTTCCCCAACTTCACTTCACACTAAATATGCGGAAACTTTCGTAAAAATAGCTCGGTACGTTGAGCTTTTCCAGCCTAACAGATGTGGGTCTCAAAAATCGAAAATTTCAGGCAACTACCCTATTTTTTGAAAATTCACGACTTGCAACTTGCAAGTCTCTCCATATTTAGAAGACACTTTACTCTAAATGTGTGGAAAGGTGCATGTAAATCACCCATAATTCTGAATTTCTCCAACTTAGTAAATATGGTCTAAAAATTGATATTTCGAGGCAACTACTCCCGTTTCTGCAAAAATTAGTATTTTGCAGACTAAACCCAGTAGAAACTTAAAAATGTCCCCAAGTTTTAGAAGATACTTCACTCTAAATAAGCCGAAAGATTCATAAAAATCGCAAATAATTCTGAATTTTGCAACTTAGTAAATGTGGATCTAAAAATTGATATTTCGAGGCAACTACTCCCGTTTCTGCAAAA